AGGGGTGATGCACATCCCACACAGGTTGGTGAGAGAGTTCGCGATACTCAGAATGTTGTGCAATTTAAAACTCATGTATTGTTTATTAAATTTATTTCTGGAATTTCCCATTTAATATTTTCTGACCAAGGTTGACTGCGAGTAATTGAAACTGTGGAGAGCAAAACCCAAGATGGAGGGAACACTGTATTAGGTAATCACAGGAAGGTTACATGATCAGTAGTCTGAGCACAGCAAAAGGATGAGACATTTTAAATTGTCCAGTTTTGACATATTTAATTTCAGTTAATCTCTCTGTATCTTAGTTTTCCCCAGGTATAAACAAGTATTACTGTTCACAAGTATGAATATATGATGAGTATTACCATTCATAACTATTCAGGAAGCTATAGATCATAAGATTGCTTAATGAATATGGTTATTATTTTTAAAAGCTCTGTGCTCCACAAATAGCACTTTCTAAACTCAAATTGAGAAATGATTTTGTGCCCAGCTGGCGTGGTTCAGAGATTGAGCATCAACCTATGATCCAGGAGATCCCGGTCACATCCCCGGTCAGGACACACGCCAGGGCTGCAGGCTCGATCCCCAGCAGGAGGCATGCGGGAGGCAGCCGATCAATGACTCTCTCATCATTGATGTTTCTATCTCTCTCCCTCTCCCTTCCTCTCTCTGAATTCAATAAAGATATATTTAAAAAAAAGAAAAGATTTTGCAGTAAGAGAGGGAAATTATACATTGATAACATGTATAATTCTTAAATTGAAGAACAGCTTCTTAAATAGTAAATATTTAAAAGTGAGCTTTAAGAAAATCAAGATAAAAATACTACTCGTAAAAAGCTTAGAGATCAGTTTTTCTATTTTTAAAATTGTAGTAAACATACATAAAATTTACCATTTTAACAATTTTAAGTGTGCAGTTCAGCGGCACTAAGCACACTTACACTGCTGTGTAACCATGACCACCATCCTAAATATATATTTAAAACAAATGCCCAATACAGGAATAGCAGCAATGCATATAGACTGAAGACTGTACATTAAGATCATTTCCTGGTTCATAAATGTTTCTTAAAATATTGTGGAACCTCTTTCCCAAGATCATTCATTTTCTATGCCATACTTTTTGTAGGGCTACTTTTCCCCTCCTTAGTCATTATTATTTTTTCCCCAGAGAGTTATAGGTAGATGATTCTTATAATAGTTAATAAATCTGTACTAAACATTTTGGTGGCTTGGGGATGAGCTTAAATTCATCTTTCTCTCTTAAAATCTGTGTATGTATGTGCACATGCCTCCTTTACCCAAAGCATTTCAGCTCACCGGATAGGATAGTTAGATTATCTCTTTTTTAATTGACTCCTGCCAATCACCTCCCTTATCCTTATCTCTATCGCCAGCTGTCTGCAACAAATTCTACTGTGAAGGCTCTCTCTCAGGAAGAATGAATTTACCTGTAATCTGTACTACAGTGTAATTCCTTCACTTATCACCTTACTAGTGGTTTATCAGTCTGGAGGTCTTACCCTTGCAGGCTATTGGCTGCTTAAAGGCAAGGACTCTTGTCATTTTTATGTATCTAGTACTTAGCAAGGTACTGGGAAACAGTAAATACCAAAAAAATGCCTTTTCCTCACCTACTCCATTTTGTAGAATTCCACTGATAACTACAGACATCCCAATCTTCTGTCTGAGGGAACAGTCTAAGGCCCGCATCAGGTAGCATTTCCTCAGACATGAGGAGAAGGGAGGAAGGACTCATTTCAGAGATGAGAGCCTGCAAATCTTAGCACTTACATGTAATTTAGGTTTAAGTATTCATTTGAAGCACTTGACACTCTAACCACTAAAAAACATGATTAGGAACTTGAACTTGAGAGACAAACCAGAAGAGGGCGAGATGAACGTAAGGCCATATAATTTTTGTGATTAATATTTCCAATGCTATTGTTTCTCACGTTTAAGAAAATAATATGAAAAAGATGCAAGCTTTTTCAGGCAAGAACACAAGCTTCATATTATTCCTATTCCTTATTGCTTAGCAACCTCAGGCAACTTCCACTACTGGGTTTCACAGGAGGCACTGTGAAAACCAGTTTCTTTCACTTCTGAAATAAAGTAATACAGGCACACTCAGAGACACTGTGGGTTCAGTTCCAGACCTCCATCATAAAGCAAGTATAGCAATAAGGTGAGCCTAATGTTCTTGTTGGTGGAGGGTCTTGCCTTCGGTTTGTAAAAAACAACTCCTGTGAAATGCGATGAAGTGAAGCACAATAAAACAACGTATGCCTGTACTGCTTGTAAATTCGTTACTGAGAAAACCAACAATACAAATGTAAAAAGAAAAATTCAGGTCATCCGTATGTGCGTGTCAGGTAAGATAACTGTCACCAGCAGTATGCCCTATGGTAATCACTTCACTTCTCTGATACTTTATTTACTGACTTGTAAAACAATAACATGAGATTTTTAAAGGTATGTATTTCTATGAATCTATATGTAACTGAAAATTCTCATATGCTGTCTCAAAACTCCCATGTATTAAAAAACTCTTTCATAATTATTCTAACTGTAATGCATACTCATTAAAGAACATTTATTGGCAATGGTCAGCTTCTTAAACTGTGTAGTGTTTATAGGTACATGTGTTTTATAATTACTTCAAAACACACAACAATTTTCTAAAAATGAGGTATTTCAGTCCTTCATAACCAAAACTGCAGTTCCTCACTTAATTTACCCCATGGATAATACTGTTATGAAAAAAACCGCCCACATTTACAGTATATTTCAATACATGAATAGGAAAATTTAATAAAATGATAATCCTCTGAATTGTAAAAGTGAATACATTCCTAAAAAAAAAAAAAAAGTCTCACATGAGCAAGGATAACTTGGTAAAGTCTGTTTTAAGGCGGGTTCAAGTAAGCAAACAATCCCCTGCAGTTTTACGAAGTAGCAGAGCCCACACCTTTGGACTGAGACTCAAATGCTGAGTCTACCTCTTACAAGACGTGTAACCTTGGATAAGTTACTTCAACCCTCTGAGCTTGTTTCCTCATTGTACAGTTGGAGAAAACAACAGTACTTACCTCTCAGGATCTTGGGTGGATTAACTAGGTGATGACTGTAAGGCATTCAGCACACAGTGCTAGGTTATCTATAAAATGTTCAAATTTAGCTGTTATTAGTAGTAATAGCAATATTTTCTCCTGAATCCCAAAGGATTTCTATGACTTATTTACGCAATTACTCATCTTTATGTGATGTACTTACTTTCACAAAAACAGAGATCATGTTCCTTTACTTCCAGGAATGAACAACCTTCTACAGTTTAAAATTCAGCATAATATTAAAGACAAGTTTTAGCTGAATGCACCCTCTAGTGGTATACGTTATGTGCAAGTACCTGGCTTCTGTGAAGAAAATCCGTTCATGAAATATCGCTAAGTTAATACTTAGAACTTGTAGGTGGCCGATTGAGAACATTACAGTATGAACAGCACTAGCCTACATCTTTTAGAAAGCTCCCTCTCTTCAAGAGCAGCACAATTTGCCTTTTAAGCGTTTCCCCACCATAAGACCTAGGATATTTGTGACATTTACCATACCAAATCCCACCACTTCTACAGTATTTTTATTCTTTCCTCTAAAGAAAATCGGGTTACTTTATGGTTTGCTTTAGCAAGCATTGTATAGTACCTATTCTTCATTTAGGTACCAAAAATGAACTGAGCTCCAACTATACACCAGGGAATGGGGATACAATAAACAACTTATTACACAATTCTTACATAATTACAAGTTTGAAAAGTGCTGTAAAGATGTATAAACTGCCATGACCGTAAAATAGGGGATTGGTATAGTTTGGGGAAGAAGGGCATTGGAAGGATTGCTTGAGAATGAAAATGTTAAAAGCCTTGGAGTAGAAATTAATTGAAAGAAAAGGGGTAGCATACAAAGAGAACAGCCTATATAAAGGCCTGGAGATAGCAAGGTACATGGGGCATGTGCTAAACTGAGGGAAGTTTCCTTTGCATGGAGCTCAAAGGAGAGGGAGGAGATCGTGCAAGGTGAGGCTGGTGAAGCAAGCAGGAACTTAACACGAAGTCTGAACTTCATCCTAAGAACAATGGGAAACTTGGGATCAAAGCAGGAGAGCAACATCTGATTTACATTTTCACAAGTTCACTTGGCTAAGGCATGGAAAATGGATTTGAGGGAGTACAAGTAGGAATGCCCCGACCAGCTGCCAGTAATCCAGGTGAGATATGTTGAAACCTGTGACAGGGGAGGCAGCAGTAGAGACAAAGAAGTGGACAGATATTTAAGTGATAAAATGGATCGAGCATGATAGTGGGGACGGGAGCAGCGGTCCTGGTGAACTGAGCGGATGAGATAACGAATGCCGTTTCCCACTAGGCACAACTGGTGGTCGTCTGGGAGGGGTTGTTGAGGTGAAGAGTTGTTTCGGAGAACTTTGGCTACGGTGTAATATTTCAATCGAATACTTAACTAGCCTCGGGCAGAAGGACCGTGTGGCACCGCCCTCTATCCTTAGAGCCCAGGTCTTCTTTTTTTTTTTTTTTGAGTTCAATCACAGCAAGCCACTCCCACTGCGCTAGTTCTTTTACATTATAGCTGCGCGGAAAGCCCTTAATTCACTCCCGCAGCCGTTTCACCAGATTTTTTTCCCCTAAGTTCAAAGGTCACCTCAAGAAAGCCTCCGGTCCCACCCAACCGACCCTTCGGTCCACTTCGCCACTAGACTGTGAGTTGCACACAGCAAGGCGTGAGCGCTCTCCAGCTCAGTGTCCCAGGCGTCCGGGGCAACACCCTTCAAAATCCAGCCTCTCCGCAAACTTGACTTGGTCACATTGCCCCGCCCAACAGGAGCCCCTGGAACGAGTCCGCCACCCACCGTTCCAGCCCCAGCTTGGCCCGCCGGAAGTGACGCGCTCTCAGCATGACGTGCTTCCGGTTCCGAGCCGCCCTGCCGCCGGGGAGGGGGCTGCGGGCCCCTCTGGCACGCCAACTCTGCTGCTCTGGAGGATTCACGCGCGGTAAGGAGGTGAGCTCGGCAGGACGAGGCAGGGGCCCGGGACCCCCAAGATGCGGCAGAGTGCCCTCTGAGGTTTCTCGGGACCTGGCGGCGGGGCAGAGGGACTGGCCGCTAGGTACCCAGGAGCCCCAGCGCCGGGGGAGGAGGGTTGGGGTGCTGGGCTCCGTGGCCTGCCCGGGACGCCTGCGCGGGGACCGGCCTCAGCTGTGGGGCGCTGGCCTCTCCGGTGGCACCCATGGGCCCTGCCTTCCAGTGGACGCGGGCGACCAGGGCGTGGTACCCAGAGCTTCCCGCTTCCCACCTACTCAGGGGAACAGGAATCCGCCCTCGCTGCGACAGTCCCAGGACCTGCGGCGCCGACTGCGCGCGTGGTCGCGGCCTCTCGCACCTCCTTAGTGGTTCCGCCCCTTGGGCTGTGTTGAGGGGACGTTCTCGCCCCGGGAGCCGAGGTTTTTAACGTGGGTTGGTGCTGCCGTGAGGCGGTGCCGCTCAGCAACTGAGGGCGGTTGGGTAGGCCCGGGTCATCCCGGGACGGCACTGACGAATTTCAGTTACCAGTCTGCCGGAAAGAGTTGTAGTGACAGACGACGTCAAAACGCAGGATTTCTGTTTACAGTTTGCCAGCGCACATTGTTTGCGTTGAAATGGCACATCAACGAGATTGAAAGAAAGTAGCCCTGGGACTTAAACGGCTAGGAAAACTGGAGTTTGGGAAGAGTAACTTCATTCATTGCATCTGTGATTTAAATTTTGCAAAATAGTACGGTTTCTTAATGAATATTTTCCAATTTTAGGCAAGTATTTATATGATAGTAGACGTGCTTTTGGTTTTTACTGGTGTGGTAGCTTCTCTGGTAAGGGCTAGATTTACATTACAGACATCTATGCGGCACATTATAGAATTAAATATATAGATATCTAAATGAAGGTAAAAAATGTTTAATAATTAAAACTAACACACGGGCATATGTGATATAGTTATATAGCATATATCTTTAGTTTTTTTCCTTTTAAATGATGACTAACTGCCATGTTTGTCTTGGTAGATTGATACCCTACCTCTGATGAAACCATGACCAGGTGGGCACGAGTTACTACCACACATAACAAACGACCCTTGTCTGCAACATCATGGGAGGATATGAAGAAGGGGTCCTTTGAGGAAAAAAGTCAAAACCTACCAAAGAGTAAACAACTTGAAGCCAATAGGCTGTCCCTTAAAAATGACGCACCCCAAGCAAAACACAAAAAGAACAAAAAGAAAAAGGAGTACTTAAATGAAGATGTGAATGGATTTATGGACTACCTGAGACAAAACTCACAGATGATTCACAATGGGGAGATGATAGCAACAAACAGTCAGGAAGTAAGGGAAGAAATTGCAGTTGCTTTAAAGAAAGATAGTCGCAGGGAAGGAAGACGATTAAAAAGACAAGCAGCAAAGAAAAATGCAATGGTAAGATTATCACTTCTACCAAAATATTACTTCATATAGCTAGAAACTATTAATCATATGCTCACATATTTAGCAGTCTGATTGCTGTTCTTTATTAAATTTATAAAGCACCTTTTTGAGGGCTAGTAATAACTATATGCTAGGTACTTAATGTACTGATTAATTATCACAATAACACTACAAACACCTTCTGGCTAGAAAACACTAACATGCAGACAGGTTAAGTATCTTACTGAAAACCACTTAGCTAGTGACAGGTGTGACATTCAAACCCAGGAAAAAGTTTGATTACTTAGATTGCTGGCTGGCACTGTGTAATTATGTGTTTTTAAATAAATATGAACCTAAATGGACTATTACCTGAAGTCCAGCCCTCCCCATTTTTTTTTTTTTTAAACCTATATTCTCACATCTGACTTCAAATAGCCCTTTTTCAAACAGTCATTTTAAAAAAAGATCAGAATAAGTGGAAAGGTTAGGTACAACAGGTTAAATATGTGTGGTTCCTATTACTTGGAAAGGATGTACTTTTGTCTTTATCCATGAAAAACTGAGACACAAGAAGGAGATCTAATAATCACAATAGTTAGTAATTGAGCAGCAGAGTTAAAACTCCTTGAGACTCCCTAGTCATTGCTCCCTCCCTCCCCATTTTACACTCAGAGGAATGCTGGGGGCTGCAGGTGCCCAACCCTAGATTTTATTTTTCTTTACCCAAGGGAGAGAGAAAGCGCGGGAAAGAGAGAAACATCAGTTGCCTCCTGTACACCTGACTGGAGATTGAACCTACAACCTAGGTATGTGCCCTGACCAGAGATTGAACCTGCAACCTTTTGGTGTATGAGACAATGCTCCAACCAAGCCACCTGGCCACAGCCAGCCCTAGATTTTAAACTGTGTCAGACATGGGAAATGAAATACTTAGTATAATCCTTTTCCTTCTCTAAATGAATTTCCCAAGTCTTCTAGCAGGATACTATATAAGAATCAGGATTTGTTATCATTTTACACCTTCATTTTTTCACTACAATTAGTAAATGTAGAGCATTGTTTGTACCAATGCAGGTTTGAAATGTTTTAGCCACCATAAATGTAGCTTCTGACACCGGCAGGATTAAAGATAATTACTTAGCCCTGGCCAGTTGGTTGAGTGTCATCCAGTGCACTAAAGGTTGCAGGTTCAATTCCCAGTCAGGGCACATACCCAGGTTGCAGGTTGGATCTCTGGTCGGGGTGTGTTCGGGAGGCAACTGATAAATGTTTCTCTCTCTTTCCCTCTCCTTTCACACCTCTCTACAAAATAAAATATTTTTTAAAAGATAATTCTTTAGAGATAATACTGATGAGACATTCCTTGTGGAAAAATTGGTGTAGAAGAAATAATTTCTATTTGGATCAGGGTAGTTTTGTTTAGATTGTACAATTATTTTTAAATATTTTTAAGTCAAGTTAAAGATAATTTAACTTAGATAATTTTATTGACATAAACAGTATGGTAAATTGTACACTATTTGCAGAAGTTTAATGTTATGATCTTTTAAGGGAAGTTTATGTAATTGAGGGAGAAAGTCGTTTTATTTTTTTAAAAGGAATGCTTTATGTTAAAGCATATACTTTAAATAGTATGGCTTGTTGTGACCTACCTTTCACTGCTTTTTTTTGTAATTTTCTTAATACCTCATACTTAGCATCACTTCTTAATTGCTAGTAGATTAAGATATTAGAAATTTACTATTGCACTTTCTACAATCCCATCTACATTAAATTTAAGGATCATTCAAGAAACTTATATTTGAAGTTTACTTAAAAAACTAATCAGTGAGCTGTCAGGTTTTTAGAGACCACTATGACTTCACCAAAATTCCAAGACTTCTTATGTTGGTGATCCAGAATTTAGCATTAGCTTTTCCTCCACTCGTAAAATAAATGCACTTTCTTTGTTTGGACCAGCTCATTGTAAATGTACCGAAGAATAAAGGGACTACTCATTCATTGTTATTAAAGAGGGAAAAAAGAAAGTAAGGATGTGGTTGTAAAATGTTATGTTTTATTTTGCCTGTTGAATTTGCTCTTTTAAAAACCTGTGCTTATTTTGAAAAAAAAAAAAAAATATATATATATATATATAGATGAACTGTTATCCAAGAATTATATATATGTGTTTCCAGTTTAAATAAAATAGTTTAAATATCTACCATCTTTGATTATGACTGATGTTCTCATTCATTGCAGCAAAAAATACCCTCCAAATTGCTAGGTAGTGTGTAAAACGAGCAAACCACTGTTCAGTGTTATGTTGGAGCCAAATAATTCATCTTAGAATTTTTCCTTCAAAATGAATTGTATATACATTCTAAAACTGAAACATCTATTTTTTAATATGAACGGATATGTATTATAAAGATATGAAAATTGTAAGGTATACTCTTTGGTGTGAAATATATTTTATGATTTGAATAATAATGCAAATGGAATCATTTAACCCAAATTCGTTCAATTATATGAACTTTAGAAGTGCAAGTATTAATTTTGAATGACAATTTTTATGGCCACTGTCTACTCCAGAAAATTTGGTTTTTCTAGTCAGACATCCCCATTAATGAAATATATAGTCCATAGTTGCTTCATTTAAGCGAGTATCTCCTACAAAGCCACTTACAACTTTGTGTCTGATGGATTTAGGGTTGTCAAAAACACTGAAACCCTGATGAAAACGGCATTTCTTATTGTTTAGCATTGTGTGAAACACTTTCTACAGATAAAATTTGAGATTTCAGAAAAAGTGCTAGATAACCTTAAATGTTTTAAAGATATTTTTGACAACAAGAATGATAAAGCTGGTGCAGTTTTGCAGTGTGGAAACTCACATTTTGTTTTTCCAGGTATGTTTTCATTGTAGAAAACCTGGCCATGGGATTGCAGATTGCCCAGCCACCCTTGAGAATCAAGATATGGGCACTGGAATATGTTATCGGTGTGGATCTACAGAGCATGAAATAACCAAGTGCAAGGCTAAAGTAGATCCAGCTCTTGGTATGTTTTTGTTTTTTGTTTTTCTTATCAATTTTTGATTTGCTTAATCAAAAGTGGGAAAGTGGCCAGTAAGTAGCCAACTGGGTTTTTCCTTTGACAGGATTATGAGTGTGCTGCTTTTTGAAATCATATGAGATTAATTTTTAAATTATGTAAAAACATGTTTTCTTCTCAGTATTTTTAAATAATATGAATTACATGACTTGTAACGTACATGACCAACTTAACAGGAATTGTTTGATCTTTACAGGTGAATTTCCTTTTGCAGAATGTTTTGTTTGTGGGGAAATGGGGCACCTGTCCAGATCTTGCCCTGATAATCCCAAAGGAGTCTATGCTGATGGTGAGTACTATTACCCTTGTATGTCAAAAATGTGAGTCATCGTGCAGAGTTAATTTACACTGTTAATCAGTTCTTGAATAAATTTTTGTGTAAGTAGCAAAACTTTGAGAATTTCATTATTTTTATCAAGCGTTGTTCTTTGTACTGGACTTTTTGGCCAATATGACTTGACATATTAATAAATCATCAGAAATAGCTCAGGTGAATGTTTCAAACTCTGCTAGCTTCAGCAGCATTATGAAGGTCTATTACACATTCCCACTTTTAAACATAACAGAAGCAGAGGGATTGTATCCCAAACTAATACAAGGTTTTAAATATAAGATTTAAAAAATAGTGTTGTGAATTTAATCTCAGCCTAGCATGCCATTTTGTATAAAGGGCTGCTATACAATATTTTTCATATTTGTACTAATTTTTGTTTCTGAATGTTTTCCTTAGTTAATTGTCTGGCATGGGATCATGTCTTTAGCTCAGCTAATGCCTTAAGATCCTCACAATGAAGTCTATGATGTCTACTAAGACTTTATGAGAGTTTGACATCTCTTAACGCAAGTCATTTGTTAATGTGATGGCTGGTACCATCAGGTTCTAGACTCCTTTTGTGTCATGTCCTGGGTTCCATTGGAGAAGTTCAGTGTAAAAGATAGATTTTGGAGTTAATGAGACTGGTTATAGCCCAGACCACCACTTACTAGCTGTTGGACTTTAGCCATGTTATTTACCTTCTCTTATCTCAGTTTCTTCACCTATAAAAATGGAGATTAAAAAAAAAACTATGTGTTTCATTGATTCTAACATACATTTTTTTTCCATATTTTAATATCTCTGAACTCAGAATATATTTTACCATTGGTAGGTCCCACGTACTTGGCATGTTTTCTTTCTTCTGAGAAGTATGTAAAAGAATGACACATCTAATAATCAGTGTTATCTTAGATTTAATGAACTACGGTATTTGCTTTGAAGAGTTATGAGGATTAAAATATATTATTTCACTATGGCTCTACAAACAGTATAGAGACCTGGACCTGGAAAAATGCTCAAAAGTGCCTTTCAGTTTTGAACTTACGAAACAGGTCATATAACATGACTAACAAGCAAAAATGGTTTAGGATGGTCAACCAAAATGACTAGATGTTTTTAAAAAGTACAGCAAGAGGAGTAAATACATAGAAGTGAGAGTTCAACCAGGTTTCTATTCTGTAGGGTCATTTTCCTGAGTCAGTCACTTAACATTATGAGCATGATCATGATAATGCTTGACAATTATGCAAAAGACTCATTTTAGAAACCACACATGTTATAATTCACAGACCTGCAATGTTGCTTAAAGTAGGTAAATGGGCATGTTAATTAGGGTTAGTGTGCCTGGAAGATAGAAGGCCCGAAAACAAAAGTTAATTTTTATTCCTTGTGTAACTTCTCACCCCCATCTGACCTATCCAGCAGAGCAGTGGTTTCTAACTTTTTGGGAGTCATTGATTATTAGGGAATGTGATAAAAACTGTGGACATCCTCAACAAATCTATCAGCACACAGTTTTGCTCACAGGTTTAAGAGTTCACAAACCCTTGCCTATCTAACCATGGTCTAGGCTTCTGTGCAGTGGCTCTTGGACACTCTAGAGGACAATTGCCTTTCATCATCTCTCTTCTCTTTCCCACTTTCCCACTTTCCCAAGTGCAACAAATGGGTAGGTGCAGTTAGTGCTCTGTGAGGTCAAAAGGAACAGAGAATGGCTCAGCTGGCATGACTGAGCGGCTGAGCATCGACCTATGAGATCCCAGGAGATCCCAGTTCAATTCCCAGTCAGGACATATGCCTGGATTATGGGTTTCATCCCCAGTGGGGGGCATGCAGGAGGCAGCTGATCAATGACTCTCTCATCATTGATGTTTTTCTCTCTCCCTCTCCCTTCCTCTCTCTGAAGTCAATAAAATATATTAAAATGTGTGTGTGTGTGTATGGGTGTGTATATATTTTTTTTTAAAAAAAAAAAGGAGAATTAACTTAATAGAAATGGTGGCACCCAACTGTGTTCTTGGCTCCAGCTACCTTTATAAGTGACAAGGTTGTGAGAACCAAATACAGTATGAAAGTGCTTTGAGACATTAAAAAACCCTATGTAAGTGTGAAAGGTTTTCAATGACTTTATTCTTTTACTAGGTGGCTGCTGCAGACTTTGTGGCTCTGTGGGACATTTTAAGAAGGATTGCCCTCAAAGTCAGAATTCAGGTGAGATCTCTGGGCTTCCATTGAGTAGAGGTAAGATTAGTAGTCCTCTGTGTTTTTGCTGCATTTTGTTATTAATAACTGATTTTAAGGCAACCTGGTTTCCTGCTGCAGTGATGACTCAATCATTTCTCTCTCAGCCGTAGACATAGTAAAAACTGGGCATTAGCCGCTGTTCTCAGGTGGGGAAAAAGTGACCAGTAAGCCTCAGAGGACCCTGATCATATAAAGCATCTTACTCATAAACATTTAAATTTGCTTACTTTAAACTATATTTGTAATAATAATAGGGCTAATTCTGTTACTTAAAGTATAGATTCACTAAGAAAATAAATGTGAAGATAGCTTTCAATATTCTTGTAATTGAGTATCCTCATATGTGCTTTGCTTTTTGTGTACCTGAAGGATTTGGAGTTGGTTGCAGAAACTGTCGAAAATATTAAAATTATATTGTCTACACTGTATCTGCCCAGTTATATTTTCTTTCTAATGAAATACTACCCTTGGTCATCAAAAACTTCATAAATGTTCACTATGCCTCTGGTAGATTTGGGGGGAAGTGAAGACCATTATTACATTAGTTTATTTAGATTAGAATGATAATCCTGTGTGAAAAAAAGGAGACAGTAGGATAGACCAGTAGTGCTTCTTAGGGAAAAACACCTTTCTGCCCTGCTAGTGTGGTTCAGAGGTTGAGTATCGACCTAGGATCCAGGAGATCCCAGTTCAATTCACATGCCCGGGTTGCAGGCTCGATCTCCAGCAGGGGGTGTGCAGGAGGCCGCCAATCAATGACTCTCATCATTGGTGTTTCTATCTCTCTCGCTCCCCCTTCCTGTCCCTGAAATCAATAAATATATATTTCCAAAAAAAATTTTTTTTTAAAAAGAAAAATACATTTCCTTTTATGTCAGATTAGCACAGTACTACACAAATAAGTACTCGTTTTTACTTCCTGCCCCTAACACTTAAATTTGAAAACCTAGAGTTCTTGTTTATAATCTTGTCTAGAAGATAGTGTTTACTGCATTGTAGGCACTAAGACTAAAGTGATGAAGTGGAATTTGAATTCTCCCTCCTGGGAGGATTGTCACTTCCCAAATGACAAGACTGACAAGCAGATGTTGTATAATTTCACAGGTGGAATCTTGTGCATTTAAAAGTGATGCTTCATAAGTCTTGCTGTTTACAGACTCTTGGAATTCATTGACTCTATAATGATGAACTCTGGGAAAGAATGAAAGTGCTTTCTCATCAGTTTGTGCATTGCAAAGCAGTCACTGCATTTCCCTAATTGGGATGAGAAATTGCCTGTAGTACTCGGAAATCAAGGGTTATAATCAATTACAGAATTATTCCCTTTTCTTCAGTGATGGAGTATTCCCTCCTTGTGATTATTCATGTCAAAACTAGTTCCTTTGCTAAACCCAAACCAATCTAGGTGGATGTATTTGACTACAGTTTTTCTTACATTCTGACTTCTCTGTTCTTTTACAGATCAAATGATTACAGTTGGTCGCTGGGCAAAGGGAATGAGTGCTGACTATGAAGAAATTTTGGATGTGCCTAAATCACAGAAACCCAAAACAAAGATACCTAAAGTTGTTAATTTTTGATGATGATTGGTACTGTCATAAGTTACTGTCTCATAGTAACATTCGGAACTGGGCCTTCTTCACAGGTTGGAGCTGGGCTCCCTTGAGAGGCCTTTATTGCAGATATCAGTCTGATCTGGGTGTGGCCAAGTAGTTTCCTGAGTTCTGTCCATCAAGGAGTAGTCTACTGCTTGAAGAAAATCACTGATTAAAAGCATAAGATGCTTAAATTGGATTCTTTAAAAGAACTTGTTAAACAGAACCTATGTATAACTAAGTGGTTATATATCTAATTGTAACAGTCACCTTTTTCTTAAAAACAAAATTATGCAGCCCTGGCCAGGTGGCTCAGTTGGTGAGAGCCTCGACCCGTATGCCAAAAAGGTCTCGGGTTCGATTCCCAGCCAGACTGTGTGTAGGAGGCGGCAACTGATTGATGTTTCTCCTTAGCATTGATGTTTCTCTCACCCCTCCCCTTTCCTCTCTCTCTCAAAAATCGGTGGAAGCATATCCTAGGGTGAGGATTAAAAAAATAAATTATGCATTCATCTGAACCACCCCTAGACAAAGGGTAATTAATTGCATTTGGGAATGAATTTTTGGTTATATTGTTTTCTAGGTTCAAATTACCAATTTATTTAAAAGTTGCCACAAAATCTGTATTTTTAAAATATTTAATAAAAAGTTATTTGCTATTTTTCTGAATACCTAATTCTGGATTTAACTAGCCATTGTCCACTAATGTCCATTAACAGTCTCTGGAATCACAATCTTTTATGAATCCTAAATGAGGTTAATTTTGGTTAATTTTTGTTTCAGTTTTCACATAAAGAATTACATATTTTTGAGGTTAAAATTGAAGAGTACCTCACCTTAGCAGCTCTCTCTTTGCTCTTGATGTTCAAGAGAGAAATTTTAGGCAAAATTCAGTTTGGGGTATTTAGCCAGAATGATAGCACATAACAGACTGTATATCAAACTTAATAGCATTTTGTTCACATGTTTTAGATGAGCCAGGGTGAGGTGCAAGTATCTCCATAATAGAGTTAGAACACTAATCAGAGACCCATTAGCTTCTTTGTTTGATTTGCTGAATACATGCATACTTAATACATATATTTCACGAGGCTTAAGGCTCCCATTGTACTATATAATGCAATGACTGATGGATTGTGTATTTCATTTGGAATTTTACCTGATTGGGTACATTTGTAACTAAAGGAAACAGCTGTGATTAGTTACTGATGCTTCAAAAACAAAATATTTACCAAATAAGAAAAGAAACACTTTTCTCTGTTTTAATATTTGCACAACTCAACAGTTCTAGTCTTAATAGCTGTTGTTTTATTTTCACTGAGAGAGGAGAGCAGGACAGGATATGGCTCAGCATCCCAAAGCATAAGGAAATGGGTGCCATTTAACAGGAACTGCACAAGTCACAGCTGGAAAAAGACAGCAATGCTGCCTTAGTCAATTAGCTTGAACACACCCAGATTTATTTCACTCGTCCTAAGAGGAGCAAAGGACTCTGGAGAGTCCAGCCTGTCAGCTGCAAGTTAAGTCTAATGTTTTCATAAAGCCTTTGATGCAGAAATGTTAGTGACCATTTTGTCTTCCTTGGGTTATTTTGGTTATATTTTAATGATCTATAAGTGAAATCATTAGAAATAAAGTGCAGGTACAAATGTAACATTAAAAAAGTATATGGACATTTGTCAAAGGAATTCACCAAATTCTGACATCCTGAGAGATTGTGTATTTCTTGAAAGGAATTATAGATGTTTATTTTCTTAGCTAAAAATGCCTGAAGAGGAAAACAAACTTTTATTCATTCATTATCATTTCCCAAGAACCCACTCTGTTCCTGTTACTCTCTTAGGCACGTGGGATTGTGGCAGTGAATGAGACAGATGAGGCCGCCTGCATTCTAACGGGGCTGAAAAGCGGAGAGAAGACAGGAAAAATACATACCAGAAATATCAGAATATCAGAAAGGGATATTTTATTAGTCTCAAAAATATTTTGCTGAATCCCCTTAGACTCAGTGGTTGGCACTCTTCTTCCTTCAGTCCTTTGAAAATGTCATCTCTTCTTACAAGCTTATCTTTCACTTTTCTATGGCTGGCTCCTTAATCTCTAACCCTAATATCCCTGGTTTCAGTCTCATATTCTCACTTTCCTGTTGGACATTCCTACTTGGATGTTATACTTACACCTCAAACTCAATATGGCTTTAAACAACCTTTCCCTTCCCCCTGGGCAAAAAACCCAGAAGGCTAATTTCCCTTCTTGCCTTTTTCTTGCTACAATTATATTCCAAGCCACTAGGCTTGAATCTCAACTTGCTCTTTTCTTGGCATTCCCTGCTCCCAGCCCCACGGTCAACCCTCCCTCATTTCCTTCAGGCTTGCTTTAGTCAGCGTAATAGCCTATTTCCTATGACCAGCCTCATAGGAAGTAGCTCCTCCCTCATCCCAGGAACTTCTCAGTCTCTTACTCTAATTTTGTCCATAATTTCTATCCCTACCTAACACTATTTGTCCCTCCACCAGATTATAGGCTACATCAGGGCAGGAATTTTGACTTGCTTATTAGCATATCCCGGGAAGTACTCAGCACACAGAAGCATCTACTTTTGTTGAGTGACTTAAATGAATAAGTGATATAAAGGGAATTAACAGATGTTGCAAATGACTGTATCTACTTTAGATAATCAAGGGAAGGCCTAGGGGGCGGGGGTAGATTTTTCTCCTGAAATCTGAATGACAAGAAGGAACCAGTTGTGAAGAGAATGGTGCAGAGCACTTAGGGAGAGGGACTAGCCAAAGCCCCTAAAGAGAGAACTTGCCATATTTGAGGGGCAGAAAGATGTGGTCTTTTGTGACTGGCTTCCTTCACTTACCAATGTTTTTAAGGTTCATCCATAACATCCCATTGTGGAGGTATAAGGGAGGTATCCGGGGGTAAGCCTTGGGTATCTCGACGTGAGGTAATAGAGAAATGCAGTTATACTGAGGAAGGAGTGTGCCTGGGTGGTTGAAAAACAGCAGAGAGGCCAATATGACTGGAAAAGAGTGAAGGATAAGCTAGTGGGAAAGGTAGCTAGGGGGTCATCGTTTATAGCTGTATCAGTTAGTTGCTGCTGTGGAACCACCACACAATCTCAGAAGACTACAGTAACAAACCTTTACTTAGCTCGTGCCTGGGGGGTCAAATCTAGGAGGGGCTTACCTGGATCGCTCTGCTCATCTCAAGCCCATGTGGGGCCTTGATCACATTATTATATGATCTGGTTCGGGTCGGCTGATCTAAGCCAGGCTCAGACGAGGCAGCTCTCTTCCACGTCTCTTCCTTTTCCTGGGACCAGCAGGCTAGCCCTGACATGTTTTTCTCATGACAGTGGCAGAGATGTAAGGGGGCAAGTCCATTTGCAAAAACACTTTTCAAGCCTTTGGCCGCGTTATGTCTGCTAACGTTCCGTGAATGAGTCACACGGTCAAGAAGACACTCCATTCATGGAGGTGCGGATGGTGGTGAGGGAGTGAAAATTTCTGAAAAATAATCTAATATACCACGCAGAGCCTTACTGACCATTATAAAGGGATGGCTTTTATTGTGTGCTATGCAAAATTGTTGATGGGTTTTGAGAAGAAATATGACATCATCTGGCTGCTGGGTTGAGAGTGGAGTAAAGGGAGAAGCAATAACAGAAACAGAAAGGTTATAATCCAGGTGAGAGAAACTGGTGTTTTGGACCAAGGTTATAGTGGTGGAGTTGATTGGAAGGGCTCAGGTACTGATTATATTTGTAACAGCTATAAGATTTGCTGAGCAGAGGTAGAGATTTGACAAACAGCAGGATGTATCTAACTTCTTAAGTGCTCTAAACTCTAATGGAGAAGTCCTTCAACTCTTAAAAGTTATCCTGTAGAGGGGGCTGATTTAACATATGCTGGTTCATTTTATGAGTTAACGCAAATCACAGACAGTAGAATAATGACTGTCGAAGTCTAGGGAATAAAGTGCTAATGTAATGGTTATGAAAGAAGAGCTCAGTTAATATTCTCTTTCTCTGCAATAACACATTTTGCAGGTACTTTTCATGTGTATATATAGCAGTAGATACTAAATTGGTCAGCCACCTTGAATATATGTTAAATGACACTAGTAAAGTAGCTCCTATTACTAAAATTGATTGGCTCCCATTATGCTTTAATGTCTTCCTAATTTAAAGCTCTAAAACATGTAATACATCTTGTCAGATCCTCCTGACATACAGAGACCTGCTGTACATGAAACAATCCCACACTATTAATCAACTAGCCAACTTATTTTTGATTTTATAACATTTTATAAAATTTCAAACAGAACGCATTTCACCTCTGTAGCCTCGAAATGTTTATGATCATTTTAGCCAAATTTGTACCATTTTACAGAACACAACAGTGCATATGGGGGCCAGTTTTCTAATGCCCATGCTCCTGGAAGGGAGAAGAGCCATGGATGATCTAAAACAGTTCTAAAGCTCTCTTAATGCTAGTCCAAGCCAATGTCTCAGACCTGAGATGCACTTTGGTTTTTAACCTCTTCTTAACTGCATTTTGCTTAGGCCAATATTAAATTATTTAGTGGCCCAAAAGCTTGCCAAGTGTTAGGAATAAGGGTGCTGGGAATTAAAAGTGGGAAATCAATTACAGGTTATTGAAAGTTTGCCACTTAAAATATGCTTATCGACCCATCATCAGTAGCATTCTCTATGAACTGTATACAGGAACCTGCTGTCTCTTCAATGGATTTTGACCAGCCACCAAGATTTCCAGCAAAATAAGGCAAGATGCTAGCCGGAATCTGGTTAAAATAAGATACCTGTTTCAAAAAGAAAATACAATATTTTAATTTCTGACTGACATGGAGCTTTTTCAAGCAGAGAACTGAATCTTGTGTGCATAGGGGAGGCTGTAACCCTACTCTTCTGGGTACCTTCTGGAACGGATCTGAAAGGATGGCCTTAGGATTCCCCTTGTGTGGACACACATTACAGAATTACAATTAATTAAGAAATATGAGTAACAGATTTCTCCTATCTGTAGGAGCAAATTAACCTGCAGGTGTTTCATTAAACTTACAGTGCATGAGCTGCTGTCGATAGCGTGGATGTGGAACCCGGCACATGTGATTTCACTCCTGATGTACTGTGGAGAAGGTGGGACCGATGGCAGAATGACCGACTTCACTGCTACCATGTACGTGTTACTGAAAGATGAAAGGACGTTTTCCAAGTTCTTGTGAGAAATGAAGAATAGTTGTTAGAAGATAAATTCCTATAACTAGAAATTTATTAGAAGACATTGTCTATGGCTACATTCAGGTCATAGTAATAGT